CAGGAGCTGGGGTGGGCAGGGCAGCCATGGGGGGGGAGGGCTGGGAGAGTGGGTGGGGTCAGGGGAGCTCATGACAGACCCCCCACATGGCGTGAGGCAGCAGGGGGCAGCGTGGATCACCCCCCCACCTGGCAGCATCTGGTGAGCGTGGGCTTTTTTTTTTTAGAGACAGGAGCTGGGAGGGCAGGCAGGGCCGCCATTAAAAGTGGGTGGAGAATGGGGCCAATTCAAAGATTTGGCTGATTTAGCTGCAGCCAAATCTCTGAATCAGATTCAGCCAAATCGATTCAAGACAGTGATTTCAATCACAGAATCAAATCACTGTCCCCCGAATCAGCCAAGTCCGACACGAATACTAGCTGCTTCGCACAGGCCTCCTGGAAAGTACTTGCTTGAATATTTAACAAATTAACATTACAGAATGCTATATACAGTTATTACAAATGCAAAAATGTGAGGCTACAAGCGTGTAAATCTCTTGACGATTATCTCATATTTTTGCATATTTCTATTACCTCATTTTAAATCTAACTACGATGCCAGGCAGTCACGTATATGCATTGATATTTGATAATTATTTGTGACCCAAACATTTCTTGGTGATTTGTTTTGACTGCTATGTAATCCATGGGTTAGAGGTACAATTTATTTTATGGGGCTCAAGTAACAGCATAAGTATTCAGTCATGAAAGAGTAATTGTATGTACATTTTTCCCTGTGCTTATATAGCAAATGTTATTAGAATTAGCAAATACAGTGCTCCACTGCACTGTGAGTTAAAAGAATGCCCTTGATAGAACATGCCCACTAGAATGAGAAACTGTGAACGTAATATACCTAACATTTTAGAAAATTCGCTTTCATGAGGCATAACTAGGGGTGAGCAAGCAAGAGACCAGCCCTTGGTGCTGGCTTAGAGGTAATACACACCTCTGTTGACCAGTCCTGAAGTAGCTACCTTGTTTGGAGCACTAAGTGGGGAATGGAGAACTATGACAAGGGGGAGAGATATGATGTAGATCTTGAGGAAAAAAATAGGATTCGAGCAGTAAGTCCAGCTGGGCCATGACCAGAAATTTTTCTTAATTTGTGTCTATCCCTCTCTCTAATCTTTCTTGGTTGCCTGCTCATGATGTCACTTCAAGACAAGAAGTAATAGAAGGAACTGAAGTGCATCAGAAAGATGGGGCAGATGGAGTAGTGAATAGATCCATGTAGTGGCAGGATCAGCAATATTATGGAGTGAATAGAGAGCTTGATGAGGTGGATAGAGTCCTTGAGTCTTTCTAACCATCTTAGGAGTCAGAGGGCACGTGTCTTCATGTACAATTAATGTGAAGCAATACACTCCAGAGTTTATTGCTTCTGGGACCACTGTTTGCATGTGTGCCCTGGATCACAGCACACTGAGCCAAGTTGGAGTAGCCCCAGCTAGCAGGGGGCCACAGGTGTCAGCCTGCCAGCCTGGGACTGCTCCCCCTGGCTCAACGTGCTGTGAAGAACCTGGCTGGGACATGAAGGTGTTTTAGCACGGGAATAGCCAGCAGGAAACCCCCTCACTGAAGCGCCTTCATACCCCAGCCAGCCGGGGCAGCACCTACATGTGCATTGCTGTGGAGTAAAAAACTCCATAGCAGGATAGTACTTGTATGTATTTAAAAAGTACTACCCTGCTACGGTGTTAGTTTACACCAGCCTAATAGGGAGGCATATGTCGATGTGCAATGTTTACTGCAGAGCTAATTAGTCTACTTTGCAATACACGTCTTGTGTAGATATGCCCAGAGAGTCATTTTGCAGTACTTGCTAGGATTGTGACTAGCTGAGGGCTACTAAATTGTAGGAAAGCACAGGAGGAGTGAGGGAGGAAATAAGGGAAGGCATGTGCTAAGGGAGAGCCCAGGGAAGTGCTGTCTTAGTGAGGAGAGTGGGAGAGGGAGTTAGAGATAAGGAACATGTAAATCCATCTGCATTTTATGTAGATCAGTGCTATAAGACATCAGAGTTTTGATCTTCTTCTTTCCAAGCAGCCATACCATATTTGAGAAAGTAAGTCACATACATTCTGATTTACGGTAAGTTATGTTGGGCTATGCACCTGATCATGTTATTATTCAGGGAATTCTCAATCATACTGAATAGGATGAATTACCAAGTAGTCACCTCAGAGAGCAAAATAATAATATGAAGTTCTTGGGTATTAGAATAGCTTGCTTAAGTGCTGGGTGCTATCTGAAGTAACAAAGCTTAGATTTGTTCAATCACAAAGATCCTGTCATAAGTCTCTACTGCAAGGACAGAGAAGTTTCTTCCAAGCAGTATTCGGTTTGGCCATTTGTGCAGTATATAGAATGTTACATGGAAATATATGGACAGGAATATTAACCATTCAAAGGGTGTCTAAAAAAAACAAATATACCTTTTCTTCCTGACTGATGCAACATAGTTCAAGATGAACCTACAAACTGGGAATACACTTTGTCTATTACAGATGTAACAATGTGAACTACACTGTAATTTCCCCCCGGGAAAGCAGAAAGGAATAAGGACAAAATGAAATGTATGTTAAAGTTTTTTATAGAAATTATGCACCATCTTTTGCCTGTATTTGTTCTCTAGCATTGAAATGTTGCTTAATACTCTACTCTGATATGCCACCTCTCCTAACCAAAAGATAGCAAGTACAAATTGTATTGGTAAAATAGCAACACAACTTTTCTCAATGGCTAGAAACTGAAATTGAAGTATACATTATAAATAGAAAAACAGCTGGCTTGGAGCACATTACAAGCCACTAACACAGTTAAGGGATTTGAATGACATCATAACCCGGGAGAGCATGTTGCTGGCCAGCTGGTGTTATTTATAATATACACATAATTGAGGAAAAATAAAAAGGCAAAAGTTATGTATTATAAAATTAACAAAGTTAAATTATCTCCTTCTTAGCACCATTTAAATTGTTGCCAAAAATAATTAAGAATAATACTGTAAAGGGAAAATGTTTATTTTATTTTTACAACACAACATTTAAATGGATAAATGGTAACCTAAACTAGGCCATTTGTGCTGTTATATTCACACTACAGTAGGTTCTAGGAAATAATATAATTTCTCTTGTGTGGTTCTTAAAGAATCACAACGCTATATTGCCCTGTTCAGCACACATAAGTACGTACTCAAACACTATCATATCTATACCAAATTGCAAACAGTTATTTCAGGGTTAATATCACTGAGCTGGAAATTATTATTATTATTCAACAGATAGATGCACCAGGTTTTCAGCACTAACAATGCAAAGGTGTATAAACTGATTACAGGTACACACAGCTGCACAACCATACAGCCACATTACATTACCTTGTTTTCCATGGCAGCATAAGCTTTTTTTGCCTGCTAGCCCCTCTGTCATTAATGCACATTCTTTTAAAGGGAGAAAAATATGCTTCAGTGCTCTAGTTTTAAAATGCAAAGGTATGATGTTATTTGTCACCATGCCCAAAAAAGTCCTTACTCGGTAACTTTGCCAGAAGAGGGAGAGAGAGAGAAGGCAAATGCTCCCCCAGCTGTTTCCTGTCTACAGTGTCTGTGTAATGTAGATAAATGTGAGGATTTTCTCTAAATCCCTCTTCTGTTTGCTAAATCTCACTGTCACTGCTAAAATCAGAGCAGATAGAGCCTGCGCAATGGAATAAAGTCCTCAATATTGAAATGTGACATTGCTCTCAACATCTCACATCTCTCTGGATTTCTTTTTTCTCATTATTACTGCTAACAAATTCATTTCCAGACTTTGCACTTTTAAGAAGCAATGGAAAAATTCAACAATCTTTCAACACAATTATTTAGGTGCTGCTTTTGTGATTTCTTGAAGGTAAATCTTTATTACTATTTGAAATCATTTTAGAGTTTTATTTTATTGTGTGTTGTCTGCTTCTGGCTAGAAGAGTGATAGGCACTTTTCAATTACATTATTTCTGAACTGAGAATTATTTATAAATTGCTGAACTTGCAATTTTATATGATCTGAAAAATGGCTGTATGTGATAGTTGCAATTACATAGATAACAACTGCAAGGGTAACACTATTTAAAATAAGCAGATCTTTCTTTTAAATTCCACTTCTGTTAGAACTTTACAATGTTTCAGGAAATGTTATTATTAAAGCTCCCAGTTACATTATTACCTATTGTTAATTAATGCTGTTAAACATAGAATAAGAACTTTCAGATATCTTCTGCAGGTGCAGGGTTTTTCACAAGTATATGGTAAATGTGACAGCTCTATACAGTTATGTACACACACACAATGTATAAAATGTTAATACTTTCTAATGTTGAAAATGAAAGATGATGCTATTACAACAGTATGCTAACACCATAGTGCATTTACTTGTCCTTTGATTTTATATATTAAAAGTAAAAGTAAAGTTCAGTTTGCCTTTTACATTAGAAATCAGTTACAACTCTTGCTGACCTAGCATATTTATATAGCTGAAGCAACTGTACATAAGGAAAGTGCAAATACTTCCACATCATCTCATCCAACTTTTCTTTTGTAGGGAGGGTTTTTTCAAGAAGTTTTCATGTGAAGTGTTATGTTATAATACTGTCACTTCTATTCATAAGAATATATCCTCTTTAGGTAAATGTGGCTCCAATAGATGCACTGACCTCTGTTTCTGTCATCTAGCCTTAGATCAAGTTTCCATTCTCAGCAAAATTATCTTTGAAGGACTATGATTTGGGTTTTTGTTTTTTTTCCAATTTGCAAGCATACTTTTAAGTAAGTGGCACAACCTCCATTGCTATAATTGTCTTAGGGCCCAATTCATTAAACAAACATGCCTGACACTTAAGCATAACTCATCCACTTTCCTTATGTCAGGATAGCTTGTCTGTAACTGCAACTGAAGAAACCATGCTTTTGGTGTACAAATGGGCTCCTCATTCTCAGATCTTTGAAACATGAATATAAGTACAACAAAAAGCTGAGCAAGCCTGGAAGTTCAGAGACATTAAAAATGGGCCATTAATATAAATTAGCAAAATTTAATTGAAGTCAGAATTACAATGAGTTTCACAAGACAAAAACATGACCCAACTTCTCTAACCAGTGTTCACTATACTTCAAAGTCTGATTTGGCCCAAAGTATTTATATTGTACTTGCGTGATAATAACTAATCAATACTACCTTATTACATAGTAATTACAGGTTTCTTCAGCCACTGTGGCTTGTTAATTGGTGCACCAGTGTCATAGGCAACTTGTGGGAAAACAATGAACCAACTATTACATTTTATTTTGTCATACATACTACCACATGGCATTTATAATTACTGTAAATTTAATTAAAATGTTGATAGCTACCATATATGTAAGGATTTGTTCGTTGCACTTTATGGCGCTATTCGAGACTATAGAACACAAATTTGTTATCAAAATAAGATCCATGGGAATTCCACCTGTGAAAGTCTGATCAGTCATTCTAGACAACTAAAGTAAGTATTTACCTAAGCTCATCCTGTACCTGTATTCAGTGTCCAAATGTAATTAGACCCTTCAATAAACCCCACCCACTTGTCAGTGCATTTTTTTAAATACCCCTGTTTGCTGTTCACATAAACACCCAGACCTGTTGTAAAAGACCTGCAGCCATATTGTGTTACATCTTTGTAAGTATTTTCTTTAAAATATTGCCCTTTAATATGAATGGAAACTTTGGTCTTAACACAAACACTCTGAATTAATTAATGGTACATGTAATTTACATGAGACAGAAAATGAAGGTAGTCTCTTAAATCATGCACTTAAAGTATTGTTTCCACAGAACTTATTTGAATAACTTAATTGAATAATCCCATGGAACATGTGAGTCCATCTCTTTTTTCAAAGGTTTTACTTGTCTACAAGTCCTTGATTGTTTTAAATTTTGGGGAAAAGTGTAGAAATTCTCTGTGGTTGTACTGTGCAGCTTTTTTGGCCTGCACTAAAGGAAAAACACTGGAGAATTTGTCTTGTCCAAGATCAGTACTGATATTTATCTTACAATGTAACCCAGCTGAAAACTCTTGAAAAACATAAAATTGTTAAATGCTTAAGATTTATGTTTATTGCTGGTCCAATGGTTTTTCAAGAACAAACTGTTAAATACATAATGTTCTTATATACACAAAGTCTTTCAGCCTTCTGAGACTATGTGTTTAACAGCTTTCAGCTTTTTCTCCTCTGAATTAAGATCTGGGAGACATCATAAATTGCAGGTGCATCATTTTCTTGTTAGACCGTCAAGATATGGGAAGAGAAAGAAGAAGTTTATATATTGTTAGAATATGGAATAATGACAAAAAAAGCCTTACATTATCATCAGTCATTTATAATATGGTCTTCTTCCATCTGCCATTGAATTCATGTCCATGCAATAATATTTGTTGGTTTTTCCATGGCAAAGTTGGCTAAGAACTCTCATGAATGGAAAAATAATTATTCTCATTCTTTTTATGATGTATCAGGGGATTTGGATTTGTTAGTTATTTTCACAGTGCAAATGCCATCCAGAAAAAAAGCATGGGGGAGGGGATCTGTTTCTACTTATTTATATATTTTCTTCTTCTGAGTTTTGATTGTTTAAATTGATATATGGGACTTTTCTGAATGGTGCTGAGGTTTTTTCTGTATCAGATAAGCATATGCAACTACTGCAGACTTCAACTAGAGATGAAGGGGGGGGTCAGTGTCTTTCTGGATCAGGTCCTATGTTAGCAGTTAATAAATAATTTTGTCTGGGTTCACAAAAAAGGTCTGCAAAAATGATGAGGAAATTGTTGCTGACATGGAGAAAAGGACTTTCAGCCAGCTTAACCAATATGTTCCCCAATAGCTTTGTACTGTTCTGATAGCACCAGGTAGAAACCAAACTTTGCTGGGAATATAAGGAGGGTTTAGATCTGCTGGCCTGGCCAGAGCATACTGGTCAAGATGTGCTTTAATTTTAATTCACACTTTAATTTTAATTCACACTTTAGACTGCTGACATTAATGGTAGGGGATACAAATCAGTGTAGCATTTTGCTAACTATCCCTACTATTAAACATAAATGGATTTTCATACTCTTTTAGCAGTGGTATTCTCCAAAACTGCTGCCCTTTGCTCCAGTGAACTTCAACTGGTGTAAGCTGGTATAGAGGTGAAGCCAAATGGAGCTGGGGTATCAACCAAGGATTCTGTCTTTTTGTTTTCTTTCTTTCTTTTTTTTTCTTTTTTTTTGAAGAAACAGAGTTTGTGTTAAAAATAAAGAGAAAATAATCATAATCTTTTGCATTCATAGCCAAGTTCTGAGCTAAGTGCATATAGTTAACCAATGAGGTTACACCAGATCTGAATTTGTCCCATACACCCTGATTCATTTTCCTGTTAATTTCTTGAATGTTTCTGGCTTCATCTCCCCCACCCTAGTTATTCTGGCCTCCTTGAGTTCCCTTGTGTCCTTATTTCACCCTGATACCTCTTTCCAGTGCAGTAGTAGCAACAAGTTATAATCAACTCTTAGAAGGGTCCTTAACTCATAGGATATGTGAACCATGAATATTCACCAGGGGAAGCAATCAGATGATGAAATGCATGCAATGGAAAATGTAAATTTATAAGGTTATTATGAAGTCTTTCTTGCTATGTGGTTATACCTATTCAACACTGCACACTCATTCTCAACTCACAAGGGTGCAGTATTTCATTGTCTTTAGGACTCTATTGGGAAACTCTGACGCAGTACTTTTGCTTCTTTGGCAGGTGAAGATGCACACTGTGTCCTACATTCATTTCTTCTATTTTGGCCTGTGTTTGCTTACCTTAACCAATTCTGCTGCTGCTGGCCCAGAGACATTGTGTGGGGCAGAGCTGGTTGATGCTCTTCAGTTCGTATGTGGAGACAGAGGCTTTTATTTCAGTAAGTCAATCCCTTCTCTCATTCAACTTCTAACCTTTTCCATGTAATCCTTTGGGTTTTGCAACCACTATAAGCATGCTCAAGAATAATCAAACCAGACTGCAGAATATGACTACTATCTTTGGTCTCTGAGCTCTCCAAGTCTGAAGTGAACATAAAGTTTCAGCAAAGAAGAGCTCAGCCTGAGTTCAGCCTCTCTGAGGTTTTAATGGGTTTTCCTTTTCAAACATGTTGTTGTTTTTAACCACTTCCCAGCCACTCCTCTTCCACCTGCTGTGCTGTTGTTGGCCTGGCATTGCAAGTAATGGAATTACAAAACATATTAGGCTCAATAAGTTTATGTACTGCCGTATCTACGTAGCATGTCAGACAGAAGTTAATTGAAATACACAACATATCATATTAAAAAACACACTAATCACCTCGTTTGAGAGAGAAAATCAGGAAAGCAGCAGGCAGAGAAGGGCAACATCCAATATGCATATACTACACCACTTCGGTAAAAAAGACAAAAAAATTAATTTGTTTTCGGCTAAACAATGACAAGTGGCCTCCTGTTTGATAAGAACAGAGCTTTCCAATAGATGTTATATTTCTTGTAAAAGATTATCTGTCCTAAGATTCCAGTGTACATATATCAAAAGTATTCTTGCTATCCCATCAGTACATTAAAAAATTACATTACTAATATATTCATATCCAGCACATATCACCTAATACCTACACAGATACATAATTCTGAGACCACTGAAAGACATTTCACCTTTAGTGAATCCTTCTGCAATTTGCTAAAGTAATGCAATTCACTTTCTGGTAAGTTCACTTTCATGTGTAAGACTTTCACACTGTGCACTCTATGAACCTTCATTTTTGGGCAAACCTCAAAGGACTCAGGTACATCCCATAAATTTTGGACATCTATCTTACTTTCTTTTTCCAAAAGAAAATTTCCTTCTTCCTAAACTCTAACATCCGTGATGTAATGCCAAATACATTACACATTTACTTAAGAACACCTATTGACTCCAAATCTCATATTCTAATACTGCACAGTTCAGAGTGGAGGTTGTTATTGTAATTTTTAGTATTAATGTTTATTCATAACTTTTTTCTTAAAGAACGTTGGAATTTTTCAATATATAACTGTAACATTTATGATATTCACTGTCCCAGTATTTGTTATATACTAAACCTTTTAATTTAATGGAATTTTTGTCTGATAATTTATTCTTTACATTAAGAACAGATAATGTATTAAGGATATATGAAATTTAGGATTCTGGTAGATTTCCACAGTCTGCACATGGACACCTGAAAATGTTGATTCTAGGCACTTAAGAAACGTTGTGTTGATAGGTGCCTGTTTTCCTTTTATTTCAATTTATCACTCTTATAGCTGATCAGTTCCTCCTCCCCCACTCCAAACTTTTTAATGGAAACAGTACAAACAAAAAACTAAAACATTCCAATATTCATGGTTTTGATTTTTCAACAAAAAAGTGACTTCCCCCAAAGAAAACACATGATTTCCACAACTTTTGTTTAATTGCAAATCCAAGCAGTTTGGACAGAGATTTTTCAACCAGCTCTACACTTCTTTTTTCCCCACTGAAATATGTCAGGTGTCTTTTAGTAACACTGCCCCTCAATAATACCCTGTTTTACCACTCAGTGGGATTAGCCATAAAGAAGTCCCACTACTATAAATCACAGAGAACTTTGCTCTGATCCAAAAGCTGACTTATAAAATAAATGTTCCTCCAAAATGCTTCCATTGGCATTAACTGCCTTTGGATGAGGTCACAAAGAAGAACCTCCATAAATGCAAAGAATGAGTAAATTAGGGCAAAAACTTGTGGGTCATTTCCCACCTTTTCCAAAGTCTGAACATGTGGAAGACCTCAGAGACCTGGGATGGCTCATCATAATATCCATGAGCTTGATAAAAATTACCTGCTTTTTCCTGCAAACAACGCCGAATATTATGTCACATGTCCAGTATGTACTATAAAGAGAGCAAGGCAATTACTAAGCTTGCCAGAGTAACATTACCCTTAAGCATCACAACTGGAAAATTCATAACTTCTGAAAATAATCAATTACATTTTAGTATTACACACTAAACCAACTAAAGACTCCAAATGACTTTAATTAATGTTGAAGAAGTTCTGGTATCTCAGCTAGAAAATTAACTAGTTTTTATTTCTTTTCTTTCTGGATCTTTTTTAATGTATTTGAACTCCTGTGAACAGTTTTAGTTTTATCATGTCAAGATGAAGTAACACATTATTCAATTTATTTCAAATTTGGTAGAAAATTATAACTCAGTCTCAGATCTAAACTACCATATTTGAGGCAAATATACTTTTCTTTTTGTATCAATCTTAGGGATAGGTGATCAAGTTAAAAATCAGACTTATGTAATGGAATCTCAGTTGCAAATGCAAGGATCAATGAGTGAAGTAGACTGGAGAAAGCAAGTTGGGGTGGGAGATTGGGACTGGCCATACAAGCAGCCTAAGATTAGGAAATGGAAAAGGCAGACACCGAGACTGGCTATTTTAAGGGAGATGCCATCTTTCTCCAGAGAAAAAAGCAACTTATACAGTGGCATAACTAGGGTGGGGTGACTGGGGCACCCAAGTTGGTCACGGGGGGCAGAATAAAAATATGGTTGCTGTCACAGCTGTGCAGTCTCATCAACTGCAGTGCCGGCACCACTGATCCCGTGTGTGGGAGTTGCTGCAGGCATCCAGACATGTTGTTATGTCTCTGATCCTGAGTCATGTTTTAATAGAGGAAAAGAATAAGCCCTAAGCAAAGGAAAGATGAAATGGGAAGGACAACCAAGAGCAAGGAAGAGACTAGATCAGGACAAGGACAATTCAAATAGGATCGGAGGAGATTTAGCTTGGCAGTAGAAGAATCCATGCCTATTAGGGCACAGAATTCGTGTGTGACTCTACAGTCATTTAAACTTTCTATGGCTGATCAATAATTGTGTTTCTTTCTAGATGCTTACTTGTGGTACCTGATTGTGGTTCACTTAGAAGTGCTGAACACTCACAGCTACAATTATAGTCAATGTGAGCTTTGCTTTGCAAATACAACATACTAAGTATTCAGGAAACATCTGATCGTAAATATCTCAGCTGAAGGACCCAAAATGAGTTGACATTTCTATCACAATTTCTCCCTGCCTCAATGTCTTATTTGTAAAATAGGGGTAATAACAGTTCACGTCAGAGAAGTGTGAAAATAAATCAAGGTTTATAGGATGTTTAGTCTAAGTACTGTTGAATGCCACAGGGAGAAAAAACATGAGCAAATGACTATGTCTTCAGAGCAAAGTTTGAATAATGTACAATTAATAAGGCAAGGAGTCATGTATTAAAAACAATGAGAAGAAAACAAAATATGGAACAGCTGCTCATTAAGTGCTCATCTATCCTGTTCATGTAATGATATAAGGGTTGTGTGGAAAACAGGGCATGAGATCATATAAACACAGATGCTATCATAATGTATATGCACAAGGGTATGAATTGATATTGTGCAGGAAACCTTAATTCTGGCATTTCCTAACTTTTGCGTTCTTGGCTTTGCAAGCTTACTACTGTTCTTTCAACATAGCATATATATGTGGGTGCGGTAGTTACATACAATTTCTTGCAATTTTAAATTTCCACTTAATTGTATAACTAGGTATCTAGCTAAGGTATATATATTGCAGCTATCTTCATCACCACTGAGGAGAAGCAAAATCTTAAGCAATATTCATATATTAATCAACACAAACTCTTAAGACAATCCAGACTGACGACCCAGGAGACTGATGTATTCTCTTTATCCACAGAACAATTACACACTACACAGTGGCAATGCAAGTGGCTTCACACTGTCCTGTTAGCGTATCCCAGTCCTGACTTAGACAAATTCTAAGATGACAGGGTAGCTCCTTGGAGTTTTTTGCTGACAATGCCAGTAAAAGTATGAAATAGTTCTTACTGAGCACATCTACCTTTACTCCAGTGCATTAGATCTGATCACTAGGGCTGTGTGAGGCTTCGGTCCCTGATTCAATTTGGCAGAGATTTGGCCCAATTCAGTGGCCAAATCTCCGAATCCAAATAGAGTCAGAGGACCCTTTAATCTCTCAGAATTGATTTGGAGAGATTTGGACAGATCTGGCAATTTGCACATAGATACAGCTTTAAATGATTTTTCTACATACCTCTAGGTAGCAGGGGCTCTGAACACTGTGGTGCTGGGGCAGATGCAGTGTCCCACAGCAGCGCGGGGGGCTCCCCAGCAAGCTTGGCAGCAGACCCAGAAGTGGACCAGAAGCACTTCTGATTCGCTTCCTGGTTCCCCCTGCATAAGTAAAAAGCAGGGGACTCCTAGCCTGGGAGCTTCATTCTAGGAGCCCCATCAGCTGAAGGGATCCCAGTGGCATGGGGCATCCAATGCACTCCCATGGCTGGGAGATCAAGGTAGCTACATCTCCCAGTCCTGGGGGTTTCATGCATCCCCAAGGCTTCAAGATTTGAAGCAGCCATGATCTCCCAGCCAAAAGGAATGCTACAGGAACCCAGGGTCCACAGCTATGGGACTCTGGTCCCCACAGCTGCTGGGGCGGAGAGTCCCCTCAGTTGTGGCAGGCAAAGTTCTTTTGAGTAGATGTGATATCATTTATTGGACCAACTGAGTAGTTGGAGAAAAGCCTGCTATACATGCAAATTGAAGTGTGATAGCAACTAGCTATAAAGTTAATACACATTTGTGAGGTCTAATTTTATAGCTGTTTGGAGCTTTTTATGCTCAATAGCCACTTAGCACATGTAGCTGGTCTCAATGTAATTGCACAATTAACCAGTTAATTGCATGATACCTGTAACATGTAGAGGGGGCCTAAGAAACCTTCTGATTTCAGACCTAAAATAGTTCATGGCCATTTCATACCCACTTGTTCTGTGACAACAATGTCTTTTAGTCTAAAT